AAAGCAGTACTAAGAGAAAAATTCATAGTGGTAAACATCTCTCAAATAAACAACCTAACTTTACACCTCAAGGAACTAGAAAAAAGAATAAATTTAGCCCAATGTTAGCAGAAGGAAGAAAATATTAAAGATCAAAGCAGAAATAAATCTAATAGAGGAGAGAAAAAAAATCAACAAAACTGAGTTGCTTTTTTGAAAAATTAAAATCAACAAATCCTTAGCTAGACTAAGAGAAAAAAGAAGACAAATAAATGAAATCAGAAATGAAAGAGGAGCCATTACAATGGATGTCTCAAAAATTAAAAAGGATCATAAGGGACAATTATTAACAGTTCTGTGCAAGTAAATTGAAGAACCTAGAAATTGGTAAATTCTTAAAAACATACAACCTACCAAGACTGAATTGCGAATAGAAAGTCTGAACTTACCAATAACAAGGAGGTCGAAGTAGTAATCAAAAACCTCCCGGCAACAACAACAACAACAAAAACCCAGAACCAGATAGCTTCATGGCTGAATTTACCAACGGTTCAAAGAAGAATGAACACCAATACTTCTCTAAAATCTTCCCCAAAAAAAGAGAAAGAAGTAAAGGGAATACTTTCAAACTGATTTTATGAGGCCAGTATCACCTTGCTACTAAAGCCAGATAAAGATATCACAAAAAAAGAAAAAAAGAAAGGAAAGAAAGAAAGAAAACTACAGGCCAATATCTCTGGTGAACATAGATGCAAAAGTCCTCAATAAAATACTGCAAACAAAATTCAACAACACATCAAAAATATTATACACCATGACCAACAGAGATTTATCCCTGGGATGCAAGGCTGATTTAACATATGAAAATCAATCAATGTGATATACCCCATTAACAGAATGAAAGGTAAAAACCACAGAATCATCTCAACATCCATTCATGATAAAACGCTCAGGAAAATATGTATAAAAGAAAATTTCCTCAACACAATAAAGGCCATTTATGAAAAGCCACAGCTAACCTTACTGAACTTTTTCTCTAAGATCCTGTAGAAGGCAAAGATGCTCACTCTTGCCACTTCTATTCAACATAATACTAGAAATACTAGCACGAGCAAACAGGCAAAAAGAATAAAAGGCATCCAAATCAGAAAGGAAAAAGTAAAATTATCACTCTTTGCAGATTACATAATCCTATATGTAGAAAACCCTATAGAACCATCCCCCCAACCCCGCAAAAAAAAAACTGTTAGAACTAATAAACAAATTCAGTAATGTTTCAGGATACAGAATCAACATATAAATACTAGTTGTGCTTTTTTACACTAACAATAATCTATCTGAAAAGGAAATTAAGAACACAATCCCATTTACAATGGCATCGAAAATAATAAAGTGTTTAGGAATAAATTTAAACATTTATTCCTAAATGTTTAGGAGGTGAAAGATCTGTACACTAAAAGCTATAAATCAATGGTGAAAGAAATTGAAGAAGACACAAATGGAGTTACATCTTGTGTTCATGGATCAGAAGAATTAATATTATTTAAATGTCCATCTTACTCAAAACCATCTATTGATTCAATGCAATCATAAAGCCAATGGTGTTTTTCACAGAAATAGAAAAAAATACTTCTAAAATTCATATGGGACTAAAAACGGCCACAAATAGCCAAAGCAATCTTAAGAACAGAGTTGAAGGCATCACATTTCTTGATTTCAAATTATATCGCAATGCTATAGTAATCAAAGCAGTATGGTACTGGCATAAAACAGACATATGGAACAGAAAAAAGAGTCCAGAAATAAATCCAGGTGTATATGATCAACTAATTTTTGACAAGAGCCAAGAATACACAATAGAGAAAGGATAGTCTCTTCAATAAATGATATTGTAAAAACTGGACAGCCACGTGTAAAAGAATGAAATTGAACCTCTACATTATACTATACACATAATTAACTCAAATAAATTAAAGACTCAAAAATAAGACCAGAAACCATAAAACTCCTGAAGAAAGAATGGGGAAAATGCTCCTTGACATTGTCTTGGAAACATTTTTTTTGGTTATGACACCAAAAGTACAACAACAAAATCAAAAATAAACAAGTGGGACTACATCAACCTAAAAAGCTTCTCATGGCAAAGGAAACCATCAACAAAATGAAAAGTCAACACACGGAATAGGAGAAAATATTTGCAAATAATTTATCTGATATAGGGTTAATAGCCAAAATATATAAAGAACTCATATACCTCAACAGAAAAAAAAATAAGATTTAAAAATAGAGGAACTGAATAGACATTTTTCCGATGAAGATATACAAATAGCCAACAAGTACATGAAAAGATGCTCAAAATCACTAATTGTCAGGGAAAGGCAAATCGAAACTACAATGAGATATCACTTGTTAGAATGCCTATTATTAAAAAGACAAGAGATAACAAGTGTTGGTGAGGATGTGGAGAAATGGCAATCCTTGTACACTGGAGGTAGGAATATAAACTGGTGCAGCCACTGTGGAAAACAATATGGCATTTCCCTAAAAAATTAAAAATAGAACTACCATATGACCCAGCAACCTCACTTCTGGGAATATACCTAAAGGAAACAAAATCATTACCTTAAAAAAGATATCTGCACCCCCATGTTTATTGCAGGATTATTTACAATAGCCAAGACATGGAAACAACCCAATGTCCATCAATGGATGGATAAAGAAAATGTGATAGATCATTTCTCAGCCATAAAAAAAGGAAATCCTGCCATTTACAACAACACAGATGAAACCTGAAGGCATTGTGCTAAGTGAAATAAGACTGGTAAAGACAAATACTGTATGATCTTATATGTGGAATCTCAAAAAAAAAAAAAACACCAAATTCATAGATATATGAAACTGATGACTGCCACAAGCAGAGGTTGGGGAGTGGGAAAAATGTGTGAAGACTCTGGTCAAAAGGTACATACTTCCACTTATAAGTTCTAAAGATGTAATGTACAGCATGGTGACTATAGTTAATAATACTGTATTATATATTTGAAATTTGCTAATAGATCTTAAAAGCTCACATCATAAGAAAAAATTGTGAATATGCGAGGTGATGGATGTTAACTAAACTTATTGTAGTAATTATTTAGCAATATATACATATATCGAATTATGTCGTACATCTAAAACTAATACAGTATTATATGTCAATTATATCAATAAAACTGGGGGGGGAATCATCACTACAATCCAATATAAAAATGAGAAACATTTAAATAAATTAAATGCTAAAAATCAAAAATGTTCAACTTACCTATGGGACAGCAAGAATTCTGCTATTGATATATTTTAGCTAAAATGTATGTCAATATCTACTTGTAGAACATGGTGTTGGAGAATATTCATGGTGGCTTATAAAACTGAATGTGTGTTTAGTTTTAAACAGAAAATCCTAAAATATTTTACATTAAAAGAAATGGTTTTAAAAAACAAATGAAATATTATTCAGCCTTTAAAAAGGAGATCCTGCCATCTGCAACAATATGGATGAAACTAGAGTGCACTATGCTCAGTGAAATAAGCCAGACACAGAAAGAAAAAAAGTTTGCATGATCTCGCTTAAGTGTAGAACCTAAAAAAATCGAATACACAGTAGCAGAGAGTAGAATGGTGGTTAACCAGGGGCAGGAAGGTGGGAGATGAAGAGGAGATATTGGTTAAAGGGTATAAAGTTTCAGTTACATCGGATGGATCGGTCTAGAGATGTAAACAGCGGCATGATGACTATAGTTAACACTGTTTAGAATACTGGAAATTTTTCAAGAGTAAATTTCAGATGCTCTCACCACACAGAAAAAAAAAAGTACTATATGATACATTAATTAGCTTGACTGTAATAATCATTTCGCTATGTGCTACCAAATCATTGTGTTGTACACTTTAAAGATATATTGTTTATATTTTTAAAATAAAATTGCATTTCATCACTTAGTAGATGTGTAACAGGAAAGTTACTTAACCCCTCTAAGCTTCAATTTATTCACTTGAAAACCTGGTTATTTATTCAAAGGGTCATTGTGAAGATTGAGCTAATGCATGGGTTTCACATTATAGTTTCCTCATCTTTGGGATGCTTATTATAAATTCTAAAGTCTGAGATTACCCGGAAAGCAGGTGTAAGAAAGGAACTTGCTTCCCAAGTGGAAAAAGCACTAACTGGAAGTCAGGACACCGTCCAGTAGGGATTCACTACCATCTAATTGTGTAGCACTGGGCCATCACTTAACTTCTCAAAGTCTCATTTTTCTCATCTGTACAATTTTCATCTGTCCTGCCCTCGTACTCAGTAAACCAGGAGAACTAACTGGGCTGAGAAGTTATGCCTTCCTCCCCTTCACCTGTCTGCTGCCCTGGCCTAAAACCACCCAGGCACACTGTGCTCATAATGCCAGTTGTGGTGTCGAGGCAAGAGGGTTGGCCGCGAGATGGCAGCATTCTCCTGATCACACATGTACACCCTGCAACCGTAAACCCAGTTGAAAGAGGAGAACCGAACACCAGAAACCTGGGTTCTCCTTCTATTTTCTCGGGGCGGGGGGTGCGGGGGGAAAAGGAGGCCTGCTCGGTTTCATTAAAAGAGCAGTTTATCAAAGATCGTTAGGCGGTGACGGCCCAGAGCAGAAGTTATCGCGAGATCGCCACCGGAAGTGGGTGGCAGCGAGGACGCAGCGACTCACCTCTCCGGAAGGCGAACGGTCCTCTCGAGCTGTTGCAGCCGTTTTCCCCAGTGCACTCTCCTCTGAGGAAAAGCTCGCCTGGCTGCGGCCTTTCCAGCCCCCAACTCGCGCTTTCGGCTTCCCGGACTTGCACAGCTGCGCGGCCCAGCCTGCGGAGGCCCCGCAACGCCCGACCCCTCCCGCCCTCCGCGCTGCAGTTAGGCCGCGCTCTAAGGCCCAGTCCGCGGCGGCTCCGGCGGGTGATGCCAAATACAGCCATG